TGTTTTCCATTTTTTCTCTCGGTTTATAAAATACCCATTCGGTGACCATCATTAGATTTTTGCTAATTAAAGCTTGATTTCCGCTCCTTTGCATATTTCCCTGCGATATAGGCCCTACAACATTTTTAACACTATAAATTTATTATTTGTCGTATTAAACAACATGGTAGGCCCAAAAAATAAAAATAAAGCAACATTTTTTTCTTCTGAAATCTCCAATTTTCGTGGCATTGAGTGTGCTAATTGGCCAAATATAAATTTGTTTTATTCGAATCATCATTTTAGACAAGGTACAAAAAAGACTGCCATATCTACGACCATACTTCATCTGAAGATCAAGAATATAGAAGTTGTTAATAGTTTTAAATGATTTTTTGTTCTAGAGTGGATTTTTGATATGCCATTAATAATAGAATCAACCTTAAAATCGATCTTTGCCTGTATGCTGTAACCATGGCTGTAAATTGTTATTGTTACAGCATGCACGCAAAGATCGTACGCGGCGGATACCCTACGCGGTGTATACCCTACACGGCGCTATTTACACGATCTTTTGTTACTTTTTCGCCAGTGACGTCATGGTAAAATAATAATAATCGCCTATAACTTCATAAAAAAAATAGCCAAAAAAGATTTTAAGGTTGATTCTATAATTAATGGCATATCAAAAATCCTCTCTAGAACAAAAAATCATTTTGCTAGTTCTCTTTTAAAGTTTTGAAGACATCGAAATGTATATGAAAACATCAATTTATCAAATCTGAAAAAATGATTATAGCATGATTAAATCTGATATAGTAACTTACAAGCCATTAAATCAATAATCTAAATTACACATCATAGGAATAATTCAAGGCCTTGATAAGGCCAAATATAATGAATTATTAGTTTCACGTCCGGAATTTAAAATTTTTTTTTTTTTTTTTTTTTGGTGAGAATATTTACTGTTTTGCTATTTACTCTCCTATACTAATTGGTAAACAGGCTGGTAAATAAGAAAAAAGAATGTTATGTTATTTACAAAAGAAGCAATATGAGTCTTTGTAGTACACTTCGATTTATATAGCCACCTCTGCTTAGGCTTTGACAACAATCTTTCGGAATAAGACTATTTTTATTTTCCATGGAAAATAAAAATTAGAAATGTTTTTCATGAAGCTCTAAATTTTTATGAGGGCAGGGACGTGTAAATAGCAATTAATTATATTTGGCATAAAACAGCAAGATAATACGTTATTATTATTGATCGGATAAATTTACTTTAGGCTATAATATTTTTTTATCATTCACCACATTTATAAATATTCATATTTTTATTTATGTACATTTTATTTATCATGTAATGAGTTGGTCGTAAGGAATGTTCGCCACCGCAGTTTAAGGCGCGCAGCGTCAGTTACTGTGCAGACAATACAGAACACAGTTATAAAATTTAACTAAGCAACTGGCGAATAATGTCGAAAATAGAAACAACCAACCAATAAAGGCCGTATACTGATAGATGAAAACTTTCAACATACGAGCATTAACATATGCTTCGCGGGGACACCACGCTGGAGCAGAGTATGTGATGTAGATCTTACAAAATAAATAATAAATAAATTATTTAAATCTATAGAAAACATTTAATTGTTGACTGAGAGCTGAGAAATTAAAACTCATGAGAACTCACCCGATATACTGCACTAGTACGGAAAGGTGATAATGGTGTTGGTGGTGATGATGATGATAATAATAATGATGATGATGATGATGATGATAATGATGATGAGGATAATGTGATCCGATGATGGTGATTTGATGATGGTGTCATGATGAGTATTCATGGTTCAATATTCAATTCAATTCATATTGCAATCAACTTCAGCCTAGTATACAAATAGCGTTTGTGATCGGATGATACAAGTTTACAGTACTGTAAAAAAAAAAAAACTAAAATGGTGAATCTCAAAGAATTCCTACTAAAATGGTGATGATATTGATGGTCATATGATGATGATGAAGAGGAGGAGGTTTAAAGAATTATACACTCCCTCTTAGTTTAGCAGGGAGGTACTATAGTTTTTACAGTAGGCCTATATATTTTATAAATAACTAATCTTCCAAGATCATTAGTTGATTCTGCAGTCCTAGATCCCATCTTCTTTTCTTAATTAAAAGGTTCTTCATTTTGATTCTTGTGATTTTTGTATTTTTATATTGTACCTGTGATTGGTGACCGGGGCCAACCAGCACTGCTACGATGATTCAGTTCAATTTGGTTAGCCCTGTTTTCCCCATTTTGTGTTTGACCAAATTCTGGGGCGGATCCAGAATGTTTCAAGCGGGGAGGGGGTATGGGGACACACTACTCGGAATAGATATGAGAGCGCTAATTTCAATATATGCCTTGAAATTTTAAAATTTAGTGGCAAAACGTGGGGGGGGGTGCATGAAATGTCATTTTATGCCTGTTTTTCTAGTCCTGTGCCTCTGTTGCAAATTCAGTAAGCAAGTACTGATCGCTATGTAATTTATGTGATAATCCGGGGTAGCTGTACTTCTTTAGCAAAGATCTGATAGCGCCTCTTAGCGGCGCTAAGATGGGAAGTACACTTTAACTAAGCACCCGGCAACCGGTTTAATACTTCATGAAGTAGTATTGACTGTGCTGCACATTGGTACAGGACTAATGTCCCGGCTTCTGTTCATATAGTTAATTCATAGTCAACTCACCGGTGGAGGTCGTCGTTGAACGTAAACACGCGTTGTGTCTAGCATATTGTTGGGTAAATGCTATTGTATTTTTCATTTTCATCAGTTTGGCAACTATTTATCATTACCTATTACTCTCCATTGTGAATTATTGTCGCCGTCTTGCATCTATGTACAGAATTATGTTTTTAACTAAGCTAGGCCTAGTCTACTAAAGCCCTAACTTGGCCTAGCCTTAGGCTAAGGGCCTAGCTAGCTAGTAGTTAGCCTAGGCCCGTCACTGTAATGTTGGCCCCATATTAGGTGCATAACCCCGGTGTAGGTAATAGGTTGCCACTTGGCCTAGACCGGATGATGAGGCCTGTTGGAATAATACTAATAGTTAGTTTTTCTATAATTTTTTAACGCAGGCCTGTTTCATTATCAATATCCATGATATGTTGTTGTTGAATGAACACATTTGAATATTGCATCAGACTTTTTCGTTTGAACGTGAATACTTGCCCAGATAAGAACACTATTGCAATGTTATTATTAATAATTGCATCATTGTGGATATCATGCATTATTTACAATAAATAAGATATAAGTATACTGGAAGGACTTTCTTTTTTCAATTTGAATCAACATACAGGTGTGCAACCTAGTCTAGTTAGTAGCATACAGTAGATCCATCCATCAAAGTACTCTGGCCTTCTCTATCACTGATGATGTATTTTATATTGTGCACCTTTGAGGCTTTTCTCTATATTCTGTTCATTTAATGAATTTTTAAACATGATTATCATGATGCTTTTTTCAAGCCCTGTGTTTGTCCAAGGTATTCGGTTACTTATCTATTATTACTCTTTCAGGTTTCACTGACATAGGGACCATGGCTGAAGTGGAGCAGAAAGTGGAGGACATGAAGATTGAGGAAACAAAACCAGAAAATGAGGAAGAGGAGGATGATGTAAATCCATGGTCTGTTGTTTCAAAGTCAGATAAAGGTGTAGATTATGATAAGCTTATAAGTAAGTACATAATTAAGATGGTTTTTTTTTTTCATTATTATAAAGTAGTGGATAATACTTTCTATCAAGGTCACTTGTACTTTAGACACATCTTTTCACACTTCTTATGTTTTTATTAAATTGTAGAGCACATTTGAATTTTATCATAATGCATTTTTCATTTCAAGCCAGAGGCTCCGGAAGAAAAACGTTTGTTGTTATGTTGTGCAACTGATTATTCTAAGACACAAAAAGCATATTTGACAAATAATTTGGGAATGGTAAATGAGATAGAGATTTTTAAATATTTACAAACTGGGGGGGGGGAGATGGAAATAGGGGTGGTTATGCCACTTCCTCCCTCACCCCCAGTTTTTAAATATTCAAAATCTGTATCTTATTAACCGTTTCTGAGATCTTTTGTCAAATATACTACTTGTGCCTTTGAAAAATCTATTGTACAACATGTCAGAAATTGTTTTTTCTCAGGGGCCTGGCTTTAATGTACTGTATGGGAACTAATATTAATATGGGAAATTAATATAGATTATGGTATTTTGTATTGCTTAATGAAGTTTTTATTTATTGGTCATCTAAAAAATTAATTAATTAAAAATGTTATGATTGGAAAAATTCACATGTTTTCATTAGGTATTTGATTTGGAATTCCTTGTAAATAATAACCTAAATTCCTTACTTTTTAACCTTAAACAGTTTCGCTGACTACCAGACAGTCAAAACTGTTTACCGTTAAAAAGTAAGAAATTTAGGTTTTCTTTAAAAGGAATTTCAAATCAAATATAAATGTTATGTTAATGTAATTTTATGTGAGAAATGCACTAATTTCTATGTTGAAGTTGATGAAGTTTATGTCACTTCAAAATTGGCAAGTTAATTTCAAAAATGATTTTTTTAAATGATTTTTTGGGTATTTTTTTGGCATGGGACAATACATCTTTAAATTGTTATTGTTCAACATTTAATAAAACATTCTTTTTCCATTTCAGAACGTTTTGGAAGTACCAAGATAGACCAAGTATTAATAGATAGAATTGGCACATTAACGAATCAAAAACCTCATCGATTCCTACGCAGAGGAATCTTTTTCTCTCAAAGGTATTATTATTATAATAAAGCCATTTACGTAGTATGAACTGCGCATGTTGTATCAAAGTAAGTCGACATAAACAATACATACATGCAACATAGGTTAATGTCTGTTGGCCCTGGATACGGGCATGCGCAGTTTAAACTATGAATTGGCTTTTGTAGGCTGTAAAGCTCTGTTCACACTAATAAGGTCTATGCGTCAAATACCTGATGATGTCATATCACACCCATATATGGGCAAATCACAACCATTTGTTACATAAAACATGATAGAGTACATAGATTAGTTACCTCTGCAAAAACTAAGGAACCCGATACGTGTCATCATAAATTTGTTTAGTGTTCTGTTCTATATTTTATATCGTATTTTTATATATTTATGTTTGTCCTGTAATTGGTGTTTACACTATTGGCTGTTTGTATAAAATATTATAATGTAAGAAATAGATGATTTACTTTTGGAAAGAAAAGTTCAAAGGACAAGGTCATTGTAATGGAAATTTCATTTTTCCCTTCTAGCATAAAAGAAAATAATGGAATGGCCCATTATACATGGCCTGCATATTGTTAGTTTTTCAGGCACAGGGTGGAAAGTAAAGGAAACGTCCCTACACAGCCTGCTTATATTCAGTATAAGCCAATTCGTAGTTTGAACCGTGCATGCCTGTATCAAGGTTTATGCCGATTGACCTTAGATACGTGCATGCTCAGTTCAAAGTACGAATTAGCTCATTCAGGCGCAGGTCGGAGGTGTACTTTATGGAGAGTTCTTGAGTTTTACCAATTTAATTATATTTGCAGTGCCAAAATGGCTAAACAAATTAAGACTAACAATGTATTAAAAGAGGCACTTTCTGAAATACTTAATCTTTTGCAAAGAGATCGACAAAGAAAATGCAGACATTCAGTTAAGTTGTAACTTTATAAGCTTTATTTCTTTATATTTCAGAGATGTTCATCGTCTACTTGATAGGTTTGAGAAACAGAAGCCATTTTTCTTGTACACAGGTCGGGGGCCGTCGTCGGAGGCCCTTCATCTAGGACACATTATACCATTCATTTTTACAAAGTAAGTTTTTATTAAGATGTTCTGGTCATGTTACAATATAATATATTTTTTATATTATTTTAACAATTTTCAATGAGGATGAATCATTTGGAAAGTACTAATAATTTGAGATCAAAACACAGAAAAACTAAAGCAACTTAATAGATAATAGTTTAAGGTTCAAGTTCAATAATAACAATTAGTGTAGTTAGATTTTATGCACAAGACAGATATTATTGTTATATTACGGTTTGCATTAATTGAATGCACTAATTAACTATACTTACATCTTCTAGTGATAAAACTTTAGTAAGTCAATTTTTGGAATGTACACAAATAGCAAACCAAATAGAAAGTCTGTCAGTTAGGACTAGTCATACGTGAACGTGAATTAGCATAGGCATAGTTTAATTGATGTTAATCCATTATAAATCCTAAATACAGTAAGGCCAAATAAAAAAAATTATTGTGTTGGCGACGCCTGACTGACCCAAATTTTACGAAGGGTTGGAATTTTAGTGTTTTTATTTTATTATTTTTATTTTGTTAACTGCAACGAACATTATTCTTTTTTATAAGCAAATAATGCTGGAATAGCTTTGGGCAGGCTAGTGGACCAAGGCTGAACTGTACACAATGCAAATCCAAAATTGTTGAATTATTTTTGTATTTTCTACTTTTTAGGCGTAAACACTTTTTTGGTTATATAAAAAAAAAAAGAAAAAAAAAAGGTTTTCCTACCAACCTACCCGTTTTTTTTGGATTTTTCCAAAATGTGACCAATGCAATTTTTTTTGGCCTAATATCAAATACATGGATATTAAGTAAATAAAATGAATGGACGGAAAGATGGACGAAGAGACATAAATAACGACAGCGGAATTATTTTAGTGTTAAAACTTGAGAGACAATGAGACAATACAACAAACTCAGTTTAGCTGCGTAAAAGTTGACAAAAAATGTTTGTGTTCAGTTTCACTTCATCAACTTATGATTCAGCATGTATCCATTTTATTCATAAACATTTATGTGTTTTTCAACACTTCACAATTTTTTTTTAGGTGGCTACAAGACACATTTGATGTTCCATTAGTTATACAGCTTACGGATGATGAGAAATTTCTATGGAAAGATTTGAAGGTTGAAGAGGCTAATAGGATGGCCATAGAGAATGTGAAGGATATTATAGCAATGGGATTTGATAAGGAGAAAACATTTATATTCTCTGATATAGACTACATTGGGTAAGTACTAAGCATGACTAATATTACCTGTATTAAATTTCTTTTTATATGTTTGTCCTTGGTGAAGTCATTTTGCTTATTACCCCTTTCCCAGAGTTGTGGTCAGTATGGATTGCAGAAAGTTTTGCCAAAAATTCTGGGTTTTGTGTGAATTCGTAACAACCACATTTGAAATAGAATCTTGCGAGATGTCACAAGGTGTCACTTGATTTATAAACCATCAGCTGAGTCGTGTTATACTCCATTGTGAAGCTTATGTAACATGTCAATACACATTAAAAACTTGTTGTAAAGGGCATTGTTTTGAAATGTTCTTTACAGGATTTTGATGCCATTGTGGGTACATATTCAAGTTTATATAACCAAACAGTATAAAACTGCAAGAGGTCCGACTGTCAGGGCTGCGTTGGAATGTAATCCTATTTTCAAGTTTATATAACCAAACAGTATAAAACTGCAAGAGGTCCGACTGTCAGGGCTTCGTTGGAATGTAATCCTATTTTCAAAAACTACTACCTCGAACTAGAGGGCATCCTTCAAAATGCGAGTTTTAAACTCTATTTAAATTGTAATAGAGCACCCCCTATCTTTTGGTAGTACTTACATTTCATTGAGTGCATACAGAGTCAGGGCAGTCAAACCTCTTGCAATTCTATGCTATCAAAATATCAGAGCTCAATCGCCAAGCGCATAGAGACTTTTTTGCATGGTGCGCTACAAATCCAACTATTATTATTACTCTTTGGCATAACTCATGTCTTTGCTGGGTGCTAATAGAAAAGTATACCATTCTGGAATTAATGCACAGTGTTCCTTCAAGTTTTACTAAATCAGGAATGTGCCTCTCCATGATAAGCAGGTTTGGTATATCTTTCGGCAACATGCAATTTTTTGTTCACGACGGTGTAGATTGAATTTCAACAATAACTGTGTGTCGCTTAGTTGTGGGGTGTTGTTTTCTTTTCATCATAAAATCTGTGACTTATTTGGAGTGTGTATCCCCAAGGAACATGAAATGTGTGTCTTATATGTAGTGTGCTTAGGCGACATGGATTGTGCATCTCTTGCGTGATTTATTTTTCTAGGCAACATAAAATGTATCTTTCTTGTTTGACAGTTGTCTCCAGGGACATGAAATATGTATGATGTGTAGTTCATAAGTAACATGAAAAATATGTGGTATGGTGTGTATCTTAAGCAACATTAAGTGTATGTTTGTGTGTGTGTGTAACAGTTTGTAGATTACATCATAAAAAATACAGTAGTTGTGAGCATGATAATGTTTAGCGCAAGTATTAAATTAATTATTTACCATATTATCTTTGTACAGTATTTGTGTATTATCAACATCCACTAAACATTTATCTTTGCAGTTCATCTTCAGAATTTTATAAGAATATGCTTCGTATTCAAAAGTGTGTGACATTCAACCAAGCCAGGGGTATCTTTGGATTTGCTGATACTGATTGTATAGGTGAGGTTTTACTTTTCAATCTTGTTTAATTTTTGCAACGTCTCATTTCCATGTACATTAACTGATCTTGTTAAAGACTAACTGCAAAGTTTTAAGTAGACTATTTGAGCAAGAACATAGTGTTACGTTAAACTAATATTACTTATGCTAAAAACAAATTTTATCTTATCCTTCCTATTGAAAAATGCCAACAACGCGGTGGTCAGAATGTTAACAATTGCTTCAATGTTTTTAACATTTCTTTATTGACGTTTGTATCATATTTCCTCTCTTCCAGGAAAAATAAGTTTCCCAGCAATCCAGGCGGCACCCTCATTTTGTAACTCTTTCCCTCATATATTTGGCACGAAGAAGGATATTCCATGTTTGATTCCATGTGCAATTGATCAGGTGAGGATAAGAAACAAATTTATGTCCAGGTGGTTGTACGTCTCATTTTAATAGTCACTCAATCAACTGAAATTGACTCACAACAGCATAGTGTTTTCCCAATTAATTAGAGCTGGCCAACATAAAAAAAACCAATTTGATATTAAATGCATTGAAAGCATTTAGATCTAAATCATTAACGCCAATTCATTCAGGGTAAGCCAAACAAAGTTTATTTTGTATTACATAGATAGGCGATGTGTTTGCTGTTAGTTTTGCTCAACACATATTCATGTGCATGCTTGGTAGTCAAGACCCAGGCTAGTTATTTTTAGGGCTTGGCTTTGATTCCACCCGAATCACTTGCCAAATTCGCTAGAATTTGGGAACTTACTAAGCATTCAGTACGAAAAATATAAATGTTGTTTTTTTTTTCAGGATCCTTACTTCCGAATGACACGTGATGTTGCCCCTCGACTAAAATACCCAAAGCCTGCCCTCATTCACTCTACATTTTTTCCTGCACTTCAAGGAGCCAAGACAAAGATGAGTGCCAGTGATGCAAACTCATCCATCTTCCTAACAGATACGAAAAATCAAATTAAAAATAAGGTAGGACATATCAATCAAAGAAACCATGTACCTGTGGTTTTGCAGTTGTAACAAAAACTCCCCTGACTAAAGCCCTTTTCATACTATGAAATTTTACTTTTTGACATGCCTAAATATGGTCATGAGGACATCTCATCATGACCATACTGTATATAGAAACATAATGTCTATAAATGGACATACAACAGTTTTTTGTCAAAGAAAATTTGATAATCTGGATAGAACTACTGTAAGGCCTAGTTCAGACTAGGTGGATAAACCCGGCTCAACTCACCAGGTTTATCCACCTGGCAGTCTGAACTGGGTGGCTTATCTCAAGCCAGGCTGTGTTCCTATAGTAACTATGCCTAGCGTGCCACCGTGTTTAACTTTTCCAAGCCGGGCTTTAATTGCTGTGTGGGGTCTTGTGTTGACTTCGAGTAACAAACTGACCAATCAACATTCAATGGAATCTTCAATATGCCCATGATACTTTATGATGGATTGCTGGTTTAAAGCCCAAATAAAATTTACGAAAATCTAAAGTGGGTAGTGTTCTGATGAAAGTAATACTTGACCAAACTATTTTTCTGTGTCGTCATCATACAAATGGAATGTGTGGAAAAAAGAGCCAATCAGCTGCCAGGATTGTCTGCATAGCTTTATTGGCCAGCACTGCAAAATACGGCTACATGAGTACCAAGAAGGAAATATGCACATGGATCAGGGTGAATGCTTAGCTATCCGACATGGGGATTTGAGCTCCATTGACCAAACAGGGGACTATTTCTTTAAAGGACATTTGGACCGGCCTTTAACTTTGTTGGTTCAGACGTAGGCCTAATTTTTTTTTGTCCCTACTGCCCAACGAGACATAGAGCCAGTGATGTAGGGGGACGCTTAAGCAACTTGCATCCCAGATGGCCGCCACCGCAAACCTGAGAAAGACGACTCATTAACTTTTGCAGGACAATATTTGAATTTTCAGTAAATTTATTTTAGCAGCTGAAAAGAAATATATTTGCATGGGTCGGCATGGGTACCAGTATATTACAATATATAAGATTTCAGTGACTGTATCAAGTAAATCAAAACCAAGAGAACATCATGACTGTTGACTGGATTAGGGAAACATACTGGATGCCTAGTTATGCTTCGTCAATACTGATTGTTATTTGGGATGTTGATACTGTATTGTGTTTTGAACTTTATAAAAAGTTATAACAGGTTTAAAAATAATTGTTCAGATATTAAAGAAATGGATATTTGGATAAATGTTTCACCATTCCTGGATAAATGTTAATTTGTTTATCTTCAGATCAACAAGTACGCATTCTCTGGTGGATGTGCCACAGTAGAAGAACACCGTGAGAAAGGAGGTGATTGTGAAGTTGATATCGCTTACCAATATTTAACGTTCTTCCTTGAAGATGATGATCAGTTGGAGCAAATAAGACAGGTAGAAATCAAACTTGTTTCTATGCATTTTTCTGACCCACCTAACTTTACTGATTGGGTATTTGTGTATAAAAACATTTTACGATCACTTCTGTTATTAGTTTTGGGTTCTATTTGTTGGATGTATATTCCTTATATATTCTTTTCTTTGATCCTGAAAGGTTGGATCTTATGAGGTATATTTTCTGCTTCTTTGCTTAAGACCCTGTTTCAAATTCGGCAGTGTTGAGCCGGATCGCTTACCTCATAGTTGTGCAAAGTTCAGCCCTACAGTGAGTTTTTTGCGGCCTGAAGAAATTAATTCAAAGCCGTGTGTGCGGCCCGCCAACCATTTTTGGGTAGAAAAGACCTTGTATTTTATGCCCCGACACATCCGTATAAATTGATATTAAAACTGAGCATAAAGTGATATAAAAGCAGTGCATGAAGGCTTTTGGAAGCGCACTGGAGGCATAAAAGTTTCGGTGTGGCCCTCAGTGTTTAATCAAATATTCACTTTGGCACCCCTTGCTTAGCTCCTTAAATAACCCGCACATAAGACAGTGTTAGGCAGGATAATGTGTTTGTTCTATATGGGTCGAGTGTGGAGGCAGTTTGGCACAGTGGAAATGGTTTGGTTTCCCAACTGCGAGGTCGGTGATTCAATCCATTGCTGTGCATTTTGCTTGTGTCCTTGAGGAAGGCATTTTCTCGACATTACTTCAGTCTACCCAGCTGTATCAATGGGTACCAGCAAGTTGCTGGGAGTAACCTGCAGTGGACCAGTGTCCCACCCAGGGGGAGCATTACACTCTACTTTTTGAAACCTACACTTTGTAATATTCATGATGAGGATGTTCAAAATCAGGTTTTTGTATTAAAAGAAACATGATGTTACTTGTAGTCGTACAAAGATGTCCCCTAGTGCCTCATACATGCGTTACACTGATAGTCTGATTAATTAGTCTGTGCGTAGTATACTCCTAGATGATGATTGGTCAATTAGACGGAGTGTTGTAAACTGCAAAATGATGATTGGTTAATTAAAATGTTACCTATTCAACTGGAGAACATTGAAGGAAGTCAGTCACGCATAAATGTAGCTAAGTGTCTCCACAGAATATAAACTATTTATAGATTTCTCAAATAGAAAAAATAGGTGTGAAAATGATGTTAATAATTTAACAGAAATGATAAGAATTAATAATTTGCTAGTTGTGTGGCTACTACATATTAACCTGTATGTTGATTATATATCACTAGCATTTAATCAACTCTAATATTTCTAATGTTTTTGTTATTTGTATAAATTATTTGTGTGTGTGTGTGTATGTTTGTTGGAATTTTGTTTATTCATTCATCCCTTCCATCTGTCTATCCATCTTTTCATCCATCCATTTATCCGTTCGTCCTTATATATTTCCATCCATCCATCTATCCATGTTTTTCCATTTCATCATCCATATATCCATCCGTCTTTCCATTTCTTCATTCATCTATCCGTCCTCATATTCCTTCATCTATTCATCCATCCATCCATCAATCTATCCATCCTTCCGTGTACCTGTTCATTTTTTTAAATTATTTTAGTAAAAACAATTATAAAATTATAGAAAAACCTGCAACTGTATGTGGCTGGGAGGTTGAACCTAAGGGAATGTATCTTCATTTGAAGGATTCTGCTCAATACCAGCTACTCTTATTTGTACCATTTTTACCTTTAGTATTATTATTAATCTTTTGCATACTACGTTTGTTATTAATCTTTTGCATA